ATATGTTTCCAGATTGAGATTCCTAAAATAAAATGAAATACTTTAAGATTACTTAATTTGTTGATAATGATAATGATTGAGAAAATAAAAGACAATATTTACTCATTATACATTTCAAAGCACTTTTTTTAAAGGAAGAGATAAATAAGCTTTTGAAAGCCCAGAAAGACTTAAAAATTCTCTATGAAAATAGACATAGCTTATCATTTTCAACTTGTAGCAAGATAGACATAAAATTCTTCAATTTATTCCTTATTGCTTATTAATTAAATGATACCAGATAAATCAACTCATCAAATAGCAACTCAGCCCTCCCTGTTCCTTCCATTCCGTGAAATTATTCCTATTATACCCCATTTCAGCCCATTCCTAACCCACAGGGTATTTACACCAAAACATATTTATTTACGCATATTAGAAGCCATACGCAAACCAGACAAAGTTCTGCACTTCGTCAATGTCAATATGGACAGGGACAGAGCCATTGACCAGTTTGTTAAATTAATCAGTAAATCGTTAAATGAATTGACTTACGAATAAAAAATAAAAAAAAAACAACTTATATTATTGCCAGCAGCCTAGTATGAACAGACGAGTCGCCTCAAAGCTTATACAAAATTTGCCTCTTTTCCCAGCATGCTTATCAAATCACATGCGAGCAAGTTCGTTGCCTAAGTCTTCTGTTTGTTGTTTGTTGTTTTTGTTATTCTCCGTTTTTTTTCCATCTTCTTCTTCTTCAGTATCTGTAGCGTATCAGTATTTTATCTCTCTTTCTTCTTTTCCGAGCATATGTTAACAAGAAACACAGTCACCAAGCCGGCCGAGAGTCGATGCTCGGCCAGACTCCCAAGAAAAGCAGTTAAGCATCTCTAAAGATGTTCTTCTATGTCTATTTTGTTTCTGTTTTTTTTTTTTGGGTCTATTTTTTTTCAGGTGTAAAAAAAAGAAAGAAGGTTTTTCATAAATTCAAATCCAAATGCCGATCGTAAATTTCTTTAGAGCCTGCTGCACATTTGCTGCCCTTCCACGTAATTTCGTTAGCGCCCAAAGGGACGCGCGCACTTAAAAAGAAAAGAAAAACCGAATTTGGGGAACAGAAAATAGGTGTGCATGTGTGTGTGTGTGTGTGTGTCTGTGTGTTATGGTCTCTTTATTCGTGTTGGTCGCACTTACCCTTTCTTTTGTAAATATTAGTTGTGTTCTGTTCGCATTGTTATTGCTAAAGTTTAGTGGCCTATTGTCAGGATTACGATATGATATGTTATGAGAGCCAGAGCCCCGGCACTTTCTTTCGGTCTGGGAAATGTTTTATTTTGATTGGAATTCTCTTTTCGAATTCAGTTTTGAAGTGCGGCTAGCTGACCAAGGCATACAATGAGATCAACTATATATGCATACACATTTATATACTATATTTATAGTTCTCTGATCCCCAGTCTGTGTCTGCGCTGCTTTGTGGATTTTTGTTTTCTGCATTGATTTTCTTAGCTGCAGGTGCGGAAGCAATTTGTTTAGAATTTTGCTGTAAACGCAACAAGCAAAGCAGCTACAAAAACAACAATAAAAGCAGCGAAACAGCAACAACAACAACAACAACAACAAGTGCCACAAGAGCCGGGTCCCGACCAACATGGACATTAAATAAAAGCGAAAAGAGTAAACATACAACACGAGAAAATATTGCATGCTCAGTTTGCCAAGAGGCAAATGCTGCACGAGTGTTGGTGTGTATCTGTGTGTATGCAAATTATTGTGCACACAGAGACGACGCAACAACAACAGGAACAACAACAACAGCAGCAGCAGCAGCAGCACAGCTAGCCAAACACTTGAGTTGCGTTGTCAGCCAAAGGAATCGTTTCAACTGCCTTGCAACTTCATTGGCCTAACTTTAAAGACTCGCCAAATCAATGTAAACTAACCGAAAATAACTCACGGCACTGAATCGTCGAGGGCAGTTCAACGGAGATGTGAGAAAAATGAAATATATATATGTATATGTAGAAAATATAATAGATAGAGCATTAAAAGTAGAGTGTAGATATAGTAATAAATCGCTGGTTGGAGTCAACTTATTGGAATAGCTTTGTGAATGTTTGTAAAAATTAAAATAAATAAATTAAATAAAATTAGCCCTAATTAAACAGGAAAAATGCATAAATATTCCATATCAATGAAACTTGTATAAAAAATTCCATAAATTAAATAAAAATAGAAGAATGGTAGAATCGTTTGCTTTCTTATCCTATTTATATTCTTTTCAAATATATGTGGGATTTGAAAATATATTTCTTTAATGTACCAAAAAAATCGGTTTATAACATAATCAACTTTAGATATTGTATTTATAATTGAAATACAAGTATTCACACTCTTTCAACAGCTCAACTTGAAGAGTCTCTACCATAAAGTTATCGGAAGTAATATAACTCTTGCTTGCAGTAGAGTTAATTGTATATTAATGCAAACGTTATTTTTTACTTAAGTTCTTCAATTCTACACTACTCAACTTTTTTTATGACAATTTCACACACCTGAATGTCAACAAAGTGTTTAAAATTCGTTTGTGAATGAACACGTTAAGTTTTATATTTCCAGTCCCTCAAAACTCTCTCAATAAATATCTATATACATCCAGAGTTTTTCAACTATAACATTCCCATCACACACCTCGCTTTGTTCAATTTAATATCAATTTCTCGACAGATTTTGATATCTTAGTTCTACCAATTGATATTATTCATTGAGCTACCCTTGCCACGTATCCTAACTGTAGGCGCATTATGTTTTATTGTTGCCTGAACCTTATGGCGCATGTCCATAAACTTTTATTAATAACCCCATAAAAAATGATCATAAAAATTGTATACTCTTGTTCTTGCTGCTGCTGTTGCTGCTAATGTTGTTGTTTGGCATTGTATTTGTTGCTTCTTACGGTAAATTTTACAGCATACATGCAAAGTGTTTGCAGTTTTACTTCATAAATGTGTGATTGTCTGCGTGTGTCTGTGTGTGCTTCGACAATGGCACAGCTGGTGGGCTTTAGGTCGTCTGCCCTCTTGGCACCCACCTCAACAATTTCTCCACATTTCTTGTTTCTATTTTTTTATGTTTGAGCTGCAAAGAGCTCTATTATATTGTTTAATGGTCTACCTCGCTTAGATGAAGGAAATCTCTTTGATTTTAACTACAGAAGATTTCTGTATTCTGATTTTGCGTATCCGAAATGTAAAACGATATGCTTAAAGAGTTTGTAGCAAGTTCTGAACGTGTTAAAGTCACAAGTTCCCTAACACGTCCTAAAGGTTATTTGATATATTTATTAAACTAGCATAACGATTTTTATTAAGCTCCAACAGACACATACACACACACACACACAAACACACATGCACGCTTAGCAGGAGTGTTGTGAGCGAGAAACGGGTTATCTAAACATTTGCTGCTCTTTATATTTTGGAGCCTTTCGAATTTCTTATGGAACTTGTGACGCGCAACTAAGTGGAAAGTAAGCAAAGTGCTTCAGCTATTTCCATAGAGCAACACTGCTGACCATATGCAAATAAATATATAAATGTATATCAGATATATATATATAATTCAGTCTCGTTCCAGTTGCAGACGCCTGCCTGCCTGCCTGGCTGGCTGCTTGCCTTACTTCATTTCATTTTATTTACGTGAACTACTCTGGTGTCCAATAAAATATACGCAACGAAATCAGATGCAAAACTCCAGGCAACGAGACGAGTTGCTGGAAAAGCCAGCCCAAAAGAGCCTGAGATACGCATGCCAAGGCTGCACCAGAGTGGGAGAGCTATAGACAGAGAGAACGGGAGACAGCGAGAGAGAGAGCGCGCGCAAAAGATTCTCATTCTCAGCATCTTGTCGTTGAGACACGCGGACGCACTTAATGAGCAGCGATCTTAAATCTTAAAGCAGACGCTGAGACAGCCGCCAGAGATGGCCTGGACCTGAGGCCCGGCACCAGGGTCTGCTGGCTGCTATCTGTGCAGAGGCAGGGCTCACACACATGTCTGCGAGTGTGTGTTGGTGAGTGTGTGTGTGTGTGTGTGTGCGACGAAAGTATCTTGAACTGCGCTTTGCCTCATTCCGGCTCAGCTTCATCTTTCTTCTGGCTTCGTCGCTGCACTTGAATTTCAAACTCACACAGAGACAGACATAGCAAGAGCAAAAGAGAGAGGGAGAGGGAGAGAGCGAGAGCGAGAGAGGGGGACACTTCAAATGCTTATGAAGATATTATGAAAAGCAAGCCGAGGCCGAACTGAAGCTGGAGTTGGAGGCAGTGTCTGCGGCCTGCGTGACAACCATGCCACTCGAGTGCCTGTAAGCAAAGAGAAAGAGAGTGAGAGAGAGAGGGGGAGACCGAGGGAGAGTGGGAGAGAGAGAGAGACGTGGAGCGGCTGCAGCATTTTGTGGCAAGTTACTCTGCGCTCCGCTGGCAAGTTGACAAATGCAGCGCACAGACGAGACAGCCATGGGAGTAGTTAACCGTGGAGCACTAGAAGCAATCGCAGCTGCTGCCGCTGCCGCCGCCGCTGCCGTTGCCGTTGCTCATCTCTTGGCATCTGCTTCACCTGCAAAAAAGATCAATGACAATTTATTGTCATGACTATGTAAGTTCTCGCTGGCGCAGGCGTGCTCATATACGTATATGCAACGTGCAGCAAATATCAGCAGCATGCATCTCCATCTCCATCTCCATCGGCATCTGCATCTGCATCTGTAACCCCAACAAAGCATGGCAATTCGATTCGATTTGATTTCTTCTGTGTTTGTGTGTTTTTATTTGTTTCGCTTACGGAAAATGGCAAATAAATTATACAAAAAATGATCTCTACCTATAGATTACAATTAGTTTTCACTAATGCTTAAACAAAATATCACAAAAAACGTATCTTAAGACTATAACTAAAGTGTAGAGAGCAGTTGATAAGGCTAATAAAAACGGGGAATGCTTAAAGACAAGTTCTTTTCCTTCATAATGCTTAATACTCGCTTTAGATGTTCGATCGGCTATTGATCTGATGTCCTGCTAATACTCGTACTTGGCCACGCCCCACACTCTAATTAATTATAACTGTGAATGAATGAATGGAACTGTTAAGCTCGCTCGCTCCATCATTCCATCATTCTCTCATTCATGCATTCTCTTGACTAAATCGTGCGGGCCAGTTGTGAACATTTGGCATTTGATTAACTTAACGCAAAACTAAGATTAATCATCTATGTTTAACAAGTCGAACATTTCGTATGCTCTCCATTCTTTTTGTTTTTCATACATTTAACGATATTTACAGCTTATCAGTCAGAGATGCATATACACACACACGTATATATATATATTGTTTATCTCTATATATATCATTTATATATGTATATGCATTGCAGTTGTTATCGTCTCGTTTCATTAGCTGCTCTTGTTGCTGTCGCCGCACTTGTGAACCTGGGCCAGCACGCGATCGATGCGCTCTGCCAGAATCTTGATTGATTTATCCGGCAAAGAGGGCAGCACATCACGCACATTCGGGCTGGTCGTCCGCTCGAACAGTTCGTGCAGTTGGCGACCCGCGCCCTCGGCACGCAACCGGCGCAGCGCCTCGATGGTGGGACGACGAAAGATGCACAGATTGTCCAATAGCAGACTGTGATAGGCCTCATACTTTTTGAGCAAACGATAGCCATGCAGCAGGCCCGATTCGTTGTCCAAGAATACGAGCAGCTGCGTCTCGCTCTGTCGCGCCAGATTGTGAGCTGGCGCAGCCATAATGTCGGCATTCCATTGAAAGTTGTACAAGTTATTAACGACACGATCGAGGTTCGCGATCAGGTAATCGAAGACGATTAAATCGGACCATTGTGCCAATTCAATTAGTCGCTGCAGCAGTGCCGACGACGACGACGCTGGCGACGCTGGCAACGGCGATGCAGTCGAGGATGCTGTTGCGGATGACTCCTCAAGCATGCTTGATTGATGATCAACCGTTTGGCCGCTGGCAGCAGCCACCTCCAGCCGTTTGAGTAATCCCCGCGACATGACCGCACCAGCATCCCGCATCTGCATCTGCATCTGCATCTGCTGCTGTGTTATATTCCAGACATCGTACTTGTTGAGATGCCGTTCCAGTGGCTGGAACGGCTGCGGTATGCCAGCCGGCTCCAGATCGGGCAGCCAACGCGTCAATACCACGGGCCGATGCTCCTTCCACTGCGCCTGCGTTATGTCGCCCAATGCCGTCGACCAGCTCGCTGTCGTCGTGTCAATGACTGTCGCTGCACTTGGCGCCAGATTCGTAATGTTCAGCAATTGTCCCAGATAGTAGCTAAAAATTTCGCCCTGTATCTGATCCGTGTTCTGGCGATAGCGGGCACAGGCGCGTGTGCCATCGGCAAAGACCACCATACGGTTCTGCATGCGTCCGCAGCCGTGCTCCAGCCGCACCACCTGACCCTCCTTGGCCACGTAGTGCTCCCAGCTGTGCTGATCCTCGGCGGCAAAGCCCTGCGGCAACGCCTGCTCCACCAGTTCGCCCCAATAGATGTCCGCATCGATGATGCCCGCCGCTTGCAGCTCGTTCTCGTGCGACTGCCGCAGCGCCTGCTGCTGTGGCTTGGCCAGCGTCCGACTGCGCTCCGACTGCACGGTTTTGGTTAGACGTCGCTCCGGTCCCTTGCGGTAGCGACCGTTCGATGTGCGCTGCACGTGGAACTCCTTGATGCTGCCATCGTTAGTGTCCAGTTTCTTGACTATCATCGAATCGGGCGCATTCTTATCCTGCTCCAGGTGGAAGGCATTGCGGAAGACCTGCTCGGCGCTGAGCTCCAGCTGCTCGGCCTCCTCTTTGACAAAGGAGACGCTGTAGGGCAACGGCGGTCGATCGTAGCTGCTGCTCAGCGGCTGTTCGCTGGGCGGCAGCAGTGCAGCGGGCGCCAACTCAACGCTGCCAGCGCTGCTGCTGCTGGTGCTGGCAAAGTAATCGGGCAGTCCGAGCATGGGCACAATGACGCCCAGTGCCATGCCAAAGACAAAGGCGGCCAATATGCTGAGCAGGCAGGCGCGACGCTGGAACGCCCGACGTCGGCGCAGCGTCAACAGTGTCATGTGTGTGGCTTCAATGGGGCTGCTGGAGCAGCTCTTTGCTGAGGGGAGGGCTGGCGGCGTGGGCGTGATAACGCTGCAGGTTAGCTGTAGCGGCGCCGAGCCGCTCAACCTTTCGTTAAAGGTATGTCCAATAGCTTGTTGTTGTTGTATTTGCTGTTGTTGTAGTTGTTGTTGTTGTTGTAGCTGCTGTTGTCCGGCTTCCAGGCGCTTTATGTCGTACATTTTGCTCTCTCTCTCACTCACTCTGTCTCTGGCTCAAGCTGAGTGCCAGTTCAAGCTGCGCATAAAGAAGCCGGCGCTGGTCGTAGTTCTTCTCCCACTTCTCCTTCGGCTCGTTGTTGTTTTTGAGGGCGTGCAACGCACGCTTGGCGGAGTCAGCTCAAATGCAGGCACAGAAAAGTCGTGAAATTAATTTCTGGCTTTGTTTAATAAATATTGCCCGGCCTGGGCTAGTCCTTTTGCCCAGAGTCCAGCTAAGTTCTATCGTTCCGTTTGTCTCGACCGGTTTGCTTAATACGTTTTGGCGATTTTTCTGCGATTTCCACAATTGAAATTGAAACAGCATAAGCAACAACAACAACACAAAAAAAGTAGTTGTGGAAAAAGCACAGAATGAACGTAGGAAAAACGTGCCCAACGCCGCTTTTATTTATTTTATGCTGCTTCAATTCTGTTGGCGTTTTTTTTTTTATTATTATTTTTTTTTTTTATTATTACGTTTTTTTTTTCGTATTTTTTGGGTCGGTTTATCGATCTATTTTCTGCACGATCACTTGTTGTAATTTTTTATTATACATTTTGCAGTGCAGTCGCTGTTTGTTGTTGTTGTTGTTGTTGTTGTTGTTGTTGTCGTTGTTGTATCTGTGGTCTGTTGTTGCACATGTATGCACATAGCGAATATGCCTTTCGGGTAATATTTTAGCAATTTCCTCGCTCTTTTTGGAGTTTATCGCTGGGTCCACGCGATGCGCTGCTGCTGCTGCTGTTGTTGTTGTTGTTGTAGGTTGACTAAGGGCCCAAAAGCTGTTGGCTGGTCAGCTAGTTTAACAGTTTTTGTTGTTGCCTTTGTTTGTTTTATTATATATATATATATATTTATTATTTTTTTTCTTTCAATTTTTGCGCAATTGGCGATTTTGGCGCGGCGATAAAAGCAATTTCGTGGCTTTGAGCTATTTACCACACACACACACACGAACGCGCGCGCGTAACACACACACACTCTCACACACACAGCGAAGTGGACTTGTCTACAGTCGTTTTGGCATTCCCAGCCTGATGCACTGCGCTTGATAATTGCCAACAGCAGCGCGACAAGTCCAAGTCGAAAACCAAGTCCAAGTCCCAGTCGCTGGGCAACACCAAGTCCTGCCAAGGCTCGGCGACTAGGCACGGTCAAGGCTTTTCGTTGCTGTTGCTGTTGTTGTTGTTGTTATTGTTGTTCGTCGTTTGCTTTAAGGTTTATCAATTTAATTTCTTGTCTCGCACCTTTGCTTGATTTTATTTTTTATTTTTATTTTTATTATTTTTTTTTCTGCCTTCTTATTTTTTAAGGGTTTTTGTTCGCTTGACCGTCCGCAACATTCACGTTGTATGCCGCACACCGAACGATCTCTGGAATTTTTATGCTTTTTTATTATTTTTTTCTCTCTTTTATTTCTGCTTTGCCGTATTCACGTTTGCGTTGCTGTCTTTCCTCTAGATATACACATATATGTAGCTAAAACACCTATATGGATATTGTATATATTTATGTGCATATAGCGAGCTGATTCACAACACGTTTGATTCAAATAGTTCTTGATATATATTTTCTTTTCATATATATCGTTTAGTTGCGTTTTGTGCGCGCATGCGTACCGCTTCGTTCGAGTTTGGATGGCAGACTGTCGATTGGAGAGCTGTCGCTGGGCTTAGTTAAAGACCGGACAAGCAGCTCAAACCCGGCTTCGAGCGACTCAGTCTCTCTCACACACACACACACACACGCACACAGTACTCTCTCACGCTCTTTCGCTCGAGTTCTCTCTCGTGCCGGTTCTGTCTTGAGTGAAACTCATGCGCTCTCTTCGACAAAGTAGCTCAGCTGTAACTCCTCCAACTATTTGCTCTCCGAGTTTTGATACATGCATAATTATGTACTCGGCCCCATGCTTCCCGTACAATTATTACCGGCATTACGAAATCTGTGCTCAGCTCGCCAGCTAAAGAGCAGAACTTGCTAACATACAGTATATGAAATAGTATTCATTGACCTAGGTGGGATATAGGTATGGATTGGATTTTAGCTGATGTAAATTCTAGGTGAAAAAAATCCCTTTGGCACCTGTTCATGCAAGCGAGCTAGTAACATTAAAAAACTTTGTCTCTTGAGCCGAAGTAAAGGAAATACAGCTAGGTCCGTCAATTCACATAGTTAGAATTAACTTTATTTTCGACATAACGATAACATTATACAGACTAACATTTTTGATACTTCTCCCCATTATCTGTAAGCCGAATCTACGGCAATACGAACATTATATTTATAAACATAAACATTATAAATAGCTGTATCAGGTTTATATAGTTCACGTTCCATCAAGATAAAATCCAAACAAAATTTTAATGACATTTTTAGCTGCGTTCGATTGCTTTATTCAATCAAAGAGAAATTGTAATGCAAAAGTTTTGCACAGTTAATTGTTTAATTGGTTTTTTTTGCCCAGACAGACTTCATTACCAATTTCGCAAAATGAGCCCCAAGCAAGCAAATCAAATAGATTGCCATTATTTCCAAAGAACTTAACCGAAATCGTGAAATTATATTCGGGCAGGTATAAGGGCATATTAGTTGGATCGAACTGCAAGTGTCGCATCATATATCTACCATTCTGTAAGGGATTAATGTTCAGTTTCTCCTTCAAGTCCAGGTCACCTGTGTGTTTTGTGACTCACCCTCTTAATGGGACATTGGGATGGCAAATTGTGCTCAGCCTTCTGTATACCCTCATAGAGAAAGCTCAGCATCGAGGGTCGTATGAGAGTCGTTAGCATCTTGCATATATCCATACGACCCACACTCATTTTAACTCCCTTGGGCTGATAGTGAGAAAGTTGCGCTTCCACTAAGCCACTCAACCTGTTGAGATCCTTGTCGCCCACCGTTGCTTCCACTGCAAATGCAGTCATATTTTCCAAAAAACACGAAAGTCTTGACAGTTTGTTGGACTTATTATCACATTTCAAGCCGAGAAAGGTGACGCGCTTAAGAAAATTTTAAGGTAATTGATGGAAGATTAAGTATATTATCTTTATCCTGATCGAGTATAAAATACCTTTTGAGCTATGCCTAAGATCAACAGTCCAGCGATACAGAATCCAAAGAGATATAGTTTTTGTGGCATTATGAAATTGATTAGCGAACAACAAATTTGCAAATATAATACTGCAGACTGACGATATAATATAAACGATGATTATATTTATATGAAACTCCACTCTTATTGTTTGGTCATTTATTTATATATTTTCTATACAATTGCAATGCGACAGTAATTGGACAACATTTCTATTTGAATTTTTCTTTTTATATTATATTTAACTATCATATTTTGCGATCAGATTTTTGTATAATTAGCATCGCTATTGTCATAGAGCAGCGAACCAGTTATACGCATATCATAGGTTTTCACATAGTTCACGTGAAATTTGCCAATATATGTGAAATTATATTCCGGCATAAATAATGGCAAATAATTAACATCGAACTTGACGTTTCGCACATAGTATGTGGTATTCTGTAAGCATTTCAATGAATTTCATCTCAGTTTGTCTCAGAATCCGACATGCTTGACTCACCCGCTGAAAGTTGCAGTTCTTGGGTAAATTGTTTTCCGAATTCGATAGGCCGTTTTGCATTATACTCAATATGGATGGCTGTTTGCTGGCATTCAGTTTGCATAGATCCAAACGTATGCCTTTAAAACGCATTCCATCCCGTTTGCCATATATATTCAATGTCAAGTCCGATATGCCAACCAAATTGTTTATCTTAATGTCGTTGGTCTTCAACCGTATGGTAAATGAGTTCGATTGCTCCATAAAACATTCAATTTTTTGCACCTTATTGCCTTTCAGCTGACATTGAACTTCTCTAAAAATGATTTTCTTTGCACGGAAATTCGTTAAAATTGCCTTTGATATGGTGTGAAGAACTCACCTTAGGGGAGCAGCTGGCACTTAGCACCCAGGTAAGAACAAGCACATATGAGAAATGTTTTTGTTTCATTTTTATGGTTTTTATTTCAATGCCAAACTAACACAGCACAGAATTCAATTGCGACTAATTGCAGAGAGCTAAACGTAATATTATAAACAATATTTTGTTGTTTTCAGAAATCTAATTGATATTTGACGAGACGAGTTGAACATTATATCCATTGAATCGTTTATATAATTATGTAACATATATATGTATGTATAGCTCATCTGCAGTCATTTCCGATATTACAAAATGCTCCAGTGACTTCCACTTCCATCGTCAGCACACTGTTCATATAGAGATTGCCATTGACTGTAAAATTGTATTCCGGCAAATATGTGGGCAAAAACTTGGCATCGAAGCGCATATTTTTCATATAATACGAGGTATTCTATAAACATTCATAGGCACACAATATCATTAGACTAGAATATATTCCCGAAGCACTAACTCACCCTGAGGAAAGGACAACGTTGAGGAAAGTTGTTGATCGAACCATATATACCCGAGTTTACCAACGACATCAAAGTGCGCGGCTTATACACAGTCGGGCCCTCACAAAACTCTGTGCGTAATTTTTTGAGTTGTATCATGTGCTTGTTGCCAAATACATAGAAATTAATATTAGATAAGCCGTAAAATTGTACAATGTCTTTGGCCATTTCCACCTTAAACGACAGGGTTGTATTGTCATTAGAGCACTCCAGTTTTGTTAATAATTTCCTCCTTTGAAAACATCGCGACGTCTTGAAAAGAATTTGCTTTTCAAACAATTGGATTATTTTCGGGTAATTCTTGAAGAACTCAATTGCCATTAACGAACCTTATCGCAAAAGATTCTGTCTAAAACGTTGGTGGATATAAAGAGGCAAATAAACAATTTGATGTTCATCTTTACAGATTTAAACCACTGAACTACGATCGAATGACACAATCCAAAGCATTTTATAGAGATTTAAACGCATATTTAAATATTATAATATATATACTTAAAACTTGAACAACAATAATTAATTTAAATGCCGAACAGAACCATTAAGCACGTTTTTTGTTTTGTTATTAAATTTGGTATTTTTTATAGATGATTATCAACATTTTTTAACGTGGAGCTATTACAATTTAACGAAAGTGCAGCTCTTTGAATTCACTTCGATTTTCATAGTTTATCGAGATTGAAAACCAAATCTCTGTTTATTTGTGTCTGCTCGCTCTACTTCCGATAAAGATAATTTTCAAGGAAATTATAAACTGTTTTTCTAGCGAATATTTTATTTAAAATTTAAATAATTTTGAACTCATCTACATTCGCTTTCAATATTACAAATCGCTCCGGTGATACGCATCTCAAACGTCAGCACCTTGTTTATGTAGAATTTGCCCATAAATGTAAAATTGTATTCCGGCAAATAGCTGGGCACATACTTGGCATCGAACTGCGCCTGCTTCATGTAGTACGTGGTATTCTATAATCAATCAGCAAGATATACTATATATACTCTAGAATATATTCCCAAGCACTGACTCACCCTAAGAAGGGGACATCGCTGAGGGTAGTTGTGGTTGGACCTGTTTATGCCCAAATTTATTATCGAAATCAAATTGGGTCGTTTATGCTCTGTCCGGACTTCGCAAAGCTCTATGCGTATTTTTTTTAGTTGTATTACATTCTTGTTACCATATACATATAAATTTATATTAGATAAGCCGTAATACTTAACGATCTCTTTGACTGTGTCCATTCTAAACGAAAGCGAAGTATCATCATTCAAGCACTGCAGATGAGTTATAGCTGTGCCCTTTAAAAAGCACTGCGATTTTTTGAAAATAATGCGCTATATAAGGAAATTATTAGATCACAAGAATTTTTTTCTTTGCACAATTGAGTGATCAGAACGCACCTTTTCGGAAAAAATCTTGTCCATAATGAAGGTGAATATAAAGAGGCAAATAAACCATTTGATGTGCATCTTTAGAGATTTAAGCAAGTGAACTACGGTCGAATGACTTAATCCTCAGCATTTTATACAGATTTTATACATGTACATATTGGACAATAATAATTCATTTAAGTGCTGTACAAAACCATGAAGCACATTTTTTGTTTTATTATAGAATTTTTACAGATTTTTATCAACATTTATTACGTGGAATTATGATCATTTAATGAAATCGAAGCCCTGTTAATTGGGCGAGTGTCATGTGGAAAAGATAATTCCCAGGCTACGAATCTTTGTTTTCTCTACTTGGCTAATAACAATAATTTTCAAGGAAATTAAAAACTGTTTTTCTAGCGAATATTTTATTTAAAATTTAAATAATTTTGAACTCATCTACATTCGCTTTCAATATTACAAATCGCTCCGGTGATACGCATCTCAAACGTCAGCACCTTGTTTATGTAGAATTTGCCCATAAATGTAAAATTGTATTCCGGAAAATAGCTGGGCACATACTTGAAATCGAACTGCACATGCCTCATGTAGTACGTGGTATTCTATAATCATTCGGCAATATATATTATATACACTCTAGAATATATTCCCAAGCTCTAACTCACCTTAAGAAGGGGACATCGCTGAGGAATGTTATTGATGGACGTATATACGCCCATATTTATTATGGAAACCAAATTGCCTCGCTTAAACTCCGTTCGGCCTTTGCAAAGCTCTATACGTATTTTTTTCAGTTGCATCACATTCTTGTTACCATATGTATATAAATTTATATTAGATAAACCGTAGTACTCAGTGATCTCTTTGGCTGTGTCTATGCTGAAGGAAAGCGAAGTATTATCATTCAAGCACTGCAGTCTAGTTAAGGCTTTGCCCTTTAAAATGCATTGCGTCGTGTTGAAAAGAATACGCTATATGAGGAAGTTATTAGATCACATGAATTTCGTTACAATTGTGTGATCAGAACGTACCTTTTCGCAAAAGATCTTGTCTAAAGCGCACGTGAATATAAGGAGGAATTTGAACCATTTGATGCCCATGTTTGGAGACTTAAAAAACTGAACTACGAGCGAATAAAAAAATTCAAAGCATTTTATATCGGTTTCTGAACCAATTACAATTAGTTTAGTTGCTATACGAATTAATGCAGCAATTTTTTTCTTTTTTTATTTTTCTAGATTTTTATAATAACCTATTAACCTATTAAAGTGAAATTATTTTCATGTGGCGAGAAATTTTATTAAACCATATGATGTGCATCTTTAGAGATTTAAGCAAGTGAACTACGAACGAATGACTTAATCCTCAGCATTTTATACATGTACATATTGGACAATAATAATTTATGTAAGTGCTGTACAAAACCATGAAGCACATTTTTTGTTTTATTATAGAATTTTTACAGATTTTTATCAACATTTATTACGTGGAATTATGATCATTTAATGAAATCGAAGCCCTGTTAATTGGGCGAGTGTCATGTGGAAAAGATAATTCCCAGGCTACGAAATCATCATTTATCGATAATGAAAATCAAATCTTTGTTTTCTCTACTTGGCTAATGAAAATACTTTTCAAAGAAATTAAATACTGTTTTTCTAGCGAATATTTTATATAAAATTTAAATAATTTTGAAATCATCTACATTCGCTTTCAATATTACAAATCGCTCCAGTGATATGCATCTCAAACGTCAGCACCTTGTTCATATAGAATTTGCCCATAAATGTAAAGTTGTATTCCGGAAAATAGCTGGGCACATATCTTAAATCAAACTGCACATGCCTCATGTAGTACGTAGTATTCTATAATCATTCAACAATCATGTATACACTCTAGAATATATTCCCAAGCTCTAACTCACCCTAAGGAGGGGACATCGCTGAGGGTAGTTATGAATGGACGTGTATACGCCTTTATTTATTACCGAAATCAAATTGGGTCTCTTTTGCTCCGTTCGGCCTTCGCAAAGCTCTGTGCGTATTTTTTTCAGTTGCATCACATTCTTGTTACCATATATATATAAATTTACATTAGATAAACCGTAGTACTCAGCGATCTCTTTGGTTGTGTCCATGCTAAAGGAAAGCGAGGTATTATCATTCAAGCACTGCAGACTAGTTAAGGCTTTGCCCTTTACAATGCATTGCGTCGTGTTGAAAAGAATACGCTATGTGAGGAAATTATTAGATCACATGAATTTCGTTACAATTGTGTGATCAGAACGTACCTTTTCGCAAAAGATCTTGTCTAAAGCGTACGTGCATATAAGGAGGAAAGTGAACCATTTGATGCCCATCTTTGGAGACTTGTAAAACTGAACTACGAGCGAATAAAAAAATGCAGAGCATTTTATATCGGTTTCTGAACCAATTACAATTAGTTTAATTGCTAAACGAATTAATGCAGCAATTTTTTTTCTTTTTTTTTTCTAGATTTTTATCATAACCTATTAAAGTGAAATTATTTTCATATGGCGAGAAATTTCCTTTTTTTTTACCTTTTTAACATAAATAAACCCGTGCTTATATATATATATATATATATATATATATATATTTTTTTTTTTTTTTAAGTCCATTTAAAAAGTAAAAGAATATTTTTTGCTGAAATTTAATCATTTACAGCATTTTCAGTGGTTATTTTAATTCCAGTTAAAATATTATTTAGTTCCTACAATCATTTCCGATATTGCACATCGATCCAGTGACTTGCACCTCAATCGTCAGCACACTGTTCATGTAGAATTTTCCCGTATATGTAAAATTGTATTCCGGCAAATAGCTGGGCACATACTTGGCATCGAACTGCATATGTTTTAAGTAGTATGTGGTATTCTATAATCATTTTGAAGTAGATACAATATATTTACTCCAGAATACATTCCCAGGCACTAACTCACCCTCAGAAGGGGGCATCGCTGAGGATAGTTGCTGATCGAATTGTATATGCCCATGTTTACCAACGACATCAAATTTCGTTTACGTTCTGTCCGGGCCTCGCAAAACTCCGTGCGTAATCCTTTCAGTTGCATCACATTCTTATTTCCAGATACATATAAATTTATATTAGATCTGCCGTTATATTTAACAATGTCTTTGACTGTGATCCCACTAAACGACAAGGATGTATCATCATTCGAGCATTCCAGATTTGTTATCAATTGGCTCTTTAAAAAACATTGCATATTTTTAAAGATAATATACTAAAAAGTATATATTTATTAATCACATGAATTTCGTTGCACGATTTACTTGTTATGAACGCACCTTTTCGCAAAAGATCTTGTCTATAACGTAGTTGTATACAAGAAGGAAAACAAACCATTTGATGTTCATCTTTAGAGATTTAAACAACTGAACTGCGATCGAATGACACAATTCAACGCATTTTATATCGATTTCTGCACCAATTATAATTTGTTTTAATGCTACACTTATTCATAGAGCACTTTTTTCCTTTATTTTCTAGATATTTATCATTAGCTATTTAAGTGAAATTATATGCATGTGGCTAGAAATTTTCTCTTTTTATTTTAAATTCTAAATCCATGAAAAAAAAAAAACCGTGTTTAAATATGTATATATGTATATTCTTGTATATTTCGATACATCTCGCCACTCATCCTGTCTTTTAAAATTATATTCAGAGTAATGTTAATGAAGTCTTCAAGAACTTTAAGGAAAACTCGATATTTGGATAGCCTATCCATCTACTCTGTATGCTTCCGGCAATGAAAATCATTTTCACGAAGCTTGGAAACAGTTTATTACGTTATCTCTATGCTTGAATTTAACGCAGGCTGTAAAACTTCACCTTATGAAAAAAACATTTCCCGGGGTAGTTGGTATTCGCACTGAGTCTGGCCGTGTCGATCATTGATTAAAAATTATGCCGTTTACGCGTTGTTGAGGCGTCACAAAGATTTGTGCGAAGTCCTTTAAACTGTAACGCATTATCGATACCATTTACTTTAATAGCGAAGCTCGGTATGCAGTAGTAGCTCACAAGGTCTTTGGTTTGGCTATGAACTGAAATGATATGGCAGTATCATTGTCTTTTACACAGTCCAGACGGGCTAGCAACTTACTCTTTACAATGCATTGCATTTCCGCTATCAAAATGAGCTTTTAAAGACAAATATGTATCTTAGGAATTTGTTAGAACAATCTGATAAAGCATTTTATATTCATCTTTAGAGAGCCAAAAGACTGAGCTACGATACAAATAAGGAGCATTTTATATTCACTTCTGGAACATTTTACGGAACAGGTACATTGCAAATTGAAGCAATAAAAGTTTATCTATGTGTGCAGTAAACCATGCATCATTATATGTACATTGCAATGTTATTATTGTGCTTTCACTTGATAACAAATAATTGATTTTAACATTTATAATTATTCAAATATTTTTAGCTTACTAAAATAGCTTATTTGATAGGTTGCCTGAAAGCAGAACATAACACTAGCCTCAAGCTAGTGCAAAAAAAATAAATCAACTATTTATGTCAGTGATATACATATATTTATATCATCTACAATCATTGCCGACATTACAAACTCCTCCAGTGACTTTCACTTCAGCCGTGAGCACATTGTTCATAAAGAACTTGCCAATGTACGTAAAATTATACTCCGGTATATAGTTGGGCAAATACTTGGAATCGAACTGAAGATGCTCCAATATATATCTGGTATTCTATAATCGGGGAACAGCATACGTTATATTTACTTTAATATACACATTTCCCAGCCACCAACTCACGCTATGAAAGGGACATTTCTGTGGAAAGTTCGTGTGCGCTTTTCGCAGTCCCGCATTGATCAATCCCAGCAAATTGGGACGCTTGCGTTCCGTCAACGATTGGCAGAACTCTGTGCGTAGTCCTTTAAGCTGTACCACATTCTTTCTACCAGTGATGTAGATGTATAGGCTCGATAAGCCGTAAAGCCTCACAATGTCATGGATTGTTTTCATGTAAAACGAAAGGGAAGTATCATTGTCTTTCGAGCAATCCACACTGGCTATTACCTTGCTCTTTAGCGCACACTGTATTCTCTTGACGAGAACTTGCTTAATAAATAAAATGGGCAAGCATGAATTTTCTTGTCCACAACTCGATTGATGTGAACTTACCTTCTCGCCGAAGCTATTGTTTATGACACAAGCGAATATTAAGCAATAGATATACCAATTGGTGTGCATTGTTTTTTTTTCTTAGCGTCCAGCAAGTGAACAACGACTCAAATGACAAATTTTCAAATATTTTATACCAAATTCCCAATTTGTTTTTTTCGTAATAATAATGTATGATCAAATATATTTTATTTAGTTCAGTATACCTTAAAATTAACAATAATTGTTCACTTTGTTCGTTTTTCAAAGATGTTTATCAGCATGATATCATTTAAAATGGAATGGGGTATGGAATTTGTACATTATATTTATATTTATATATGTGTGTTTTTAGGTAACAAAGAAACTTTGCCGATGGCAAAGCGTTTTGTAAAAAATAATGATATAAATATACATATGTATATATATGAGCATATGTATATATTATTTTAATTATATTTATTTATATTTTATATTTAAAAATATATTATTTATAATATTTTAAAATACAACATAAATTTGTTTGAAAACATTCTGAGCTTTTTAATATTTTAAGAGCAGCTCTTAAGAGCGCACATAGCTCAAACTCAAAACTCACTCAATGAGTAAGTGTGAATTTCAACGAGAGAGTGAGAGAGAGAGAGATCACGAGAGAGGGAATTCGTGAGTTGAGAGTGGCTCAGCTGAGTAGACCGTGAACATTTTAATGTCCATTTGAAGCTCTTGAAGCGTTCGTGTTGTTGATTTTTATGCTCAGCGCGGCACATTTGCTGCGGCACATTAAGAAACTAGTATTTGGTGCTCTTTGCGCAGCAAGAGCGCACTGCAATGGCAGCTCACGAACACGAACACGCACACACAACACACAAACGCATCGAGTCCACGTTAGTGTGGGGGAAAAAAGGTTGGAAAAAATATGATCAAGGAATGTAGACATAACTTGACAGCATGTTTAGAGAATTTTTACTCGAGGACAGAGCGCGAATGTGCGTTGGAAACGGAATGAGTCGCCTGCCTGCTCGAGTGTAGCTCAGAGACGCAGAGCTGACTGTGGCAGACTCAGACAGCAGGACAGGCGGGCGGACGAAGACGACAACAACGAAGCTGGCGCATTCTTGGGACCAAGCTGCTGCTGCTGTTGCGGCTGCTGTGTGAGAGAGAACTTTAGCGTGTGTGTGTGTGTGTGTGTGTGAGTGGAGTTAGACTCACGATTTGTCTAATTGAATTTGCACAAACAATTAAAAGTTGCTCAGTATCGAATGACAAGCATAAACATAATTTATGAGCAGCAACCAGAGCAGCAGCAGCAACATTTTATTTTTACAGTTATTGTAAAGTTAACACAACTAATTTCTAATAGGTAGCTCGTATTTAATATGTAAATAATACAATATATAAAATATATTAAAAGGGTCTTTCAAAGTGAATGCACATCAAATGAAATCAAATGGCCATGCATAGATAACTAGCACAAGAGATCAAAGGGAATAGATGCTATAACGTTTGCAATAAATAAGCATAAAATTAAATAAAAAATAAATAAATATAGAGTATATAGTGTATATGGTGTCAGCTGTCTATGGGGGCACCTTAAAAGAGAGGCTGCCATTGTTGTTGTCTTTTCATTATCTATCGATCTAAATTTCAAATGGAATCCAAATCTAATTCGAGCGACATTTGTTTTTTTTTTTTTTTTTTTGTGGCCACACATAAGCTCGTGAACATTTTATCTTATTTGTTGTTCTTCTTTGATCTGATTTTGTTTTTGGTTCGCTTTTTTCAATATTTGTAACACACGTATTTTAGCTATCTTTATTTTTAGCTATTTTCGTTGTTGTCGTTTTTTTTTTCCTTTTTTTTTCTTTACGAATTTTGCTATTTGCCCCGCAGTAATGCGTCTGTTGAAATTGTCAGTTTAAGTCAAATTAATTAACATTAATTTTTGTAGCTCGTTGCGAGGCATCAATTCAACCGGGTTGCCTTTTTTTGGCTACAGATTTGTTGTTGTTGTTGCTGTTGCTGTTTGTATTTTTGTTTCGAGCTTAGCTTTGATGATAAATCGTAGCTCGGTTGGCGACTTTCCAGTTGGCACAGTGTCTTCATAGCCTGGCACGGTCTTATCGCTGCCAGCCTTTTATAGCCAGCTGTTTGTTATTGCTGTAACTGTTGCCAATATGGTGGGAAAGAAGCTGGCGCTCGAAAAAAAACTTGTTATACTTTGTTAGCCAGCAGCAAGGTCCAGGCCCCACAAAACTTAATCGAATTAAACAAATACATGTGTTTTCATTTTTGACTCGGGCTCCGGGATTTGACAAATGATGTTATGGTCTGTCTTTGTTAGCTATAACGATAACTAGCCTAACTGTTTCAACGTTTTTCTGTATTTCTGTCTTCGTTTGTTAGGGGCTTCGTCAAGTTCGTTGCCTAAGTCTTTTGTTTTGTGGGAACAGCTTGGCGGCGCTGCGCTGCGTTTCGTTTTAATTATTTTGCCAAAGTCTTTGCCCGCGTATAAATTTCAGTGCAGTCAGCAAACAAAGAAATAAAAACTTAACAAACACACACACACACACACGCACACACACTCCCATCCACTTACATATATTGGAGCTGAGAAGAAAAAAAAACGTTTTTTCGAAGTTTGTTAAGCGCAAATTCTTGAAATGTTTGCAGTGCGCAACAATTTGGAACATTTTGTTGAACACAAGAGGAGCAAACAGTGGAAAAAAGCAAATGAAAAAGAAAAAAAAAAAAAACAGAGAAGAAAAAGAAATACAAGAAAATGTATCGTCGCCTCGTGGTCAACGAAAGTGAACGGCGAAGGACACACAAAGTGACGGCAACGACTGCTCCTCAAAATGAAACTGGAACTGGAGCTGTTAGCTCTTCGATGCAGTTGGCAGTTGGCTGTTGGCTGTTGGCTGGACGTGAGTGTGGCTGAAGTGAAACTGCCATTGTTTGCATTGCTAGATACCAGACCACTCATGCTAGACGCTGGCGTCGCTGATGATGACGACTTGGACGTAACTGCAACAGCGCCTGAAGAGGCAGCAGGAACTGCTCAAAAAAAAAAAAGAAGAAAACTGAGAGTAAAGAAGAAAAATACAACTCCTTGCACACACTGAGCAGAGCAGAAGAGCACACTGCTCAGCTCAGCTCAGCTCAGGCGTCGTCGTAGTCGTCACGGCCCGTCAGCGCTAGCATCCACAAATCTACACAACACATCCTAGCTGGGCTAGCACTTCAAATATGAACGATGCACGGGCATCAGGCACCAGGCACCAGGCACCCGGCATCAGGCATCAGGCATGGGGCACTTGCTATTGCTTCTGCTTGGCTCTTGAAGACTCCAAAGTCTTTGGGGCTTCAGACTTTGGCTGTCTCTCTGGCCTGCCAGGCCTGCCTGACCTGAGTTAAACAAATTCATTAAAAACTCGTCACTTTGCGCGCATCACGCTGACTTGGCATAACTGCCGCAGTGCCAGCCACAGCCGCTGCCCCCGCTGCTAACCGTCGTCGTCGCCATCGTCGTCGTCATCGTCATCATCATCGTCGTTGGCGTCGTCGAGCATTGCCACTTGCCACAATACTCGTACTCGCATTCGCAGTCATATTCGCAGTCTCGCACTCTAGCACTCTTGCACTCCTTTAGCCCTGCAGCCAATGAAGTGTCTGGGCTCACAGTCTTAAGGCCCATTGCCAGGATACCATTTGTAACCATTTTTGTCTCTCGAGCAACCTCTGCATTATAACAATATTTTCATAGCATGTCCCTTCACATTGTTTGCACTGTGCGGCAGCTTATACTTCCTACAATCCAAAGAGAGTAAAAGAGAGAGAGAGAGAGAGAGAGAGAGAGAGAGAGAGAGAGAGAGAGAGAGAGAGACTGAGCGAGCCTTCAGTATATTTGTATTCTATTTTGAAAGGCCCTTCAATCAACTTGATCTTGGCAGCTGCCTGAAAGCCGCAGCCAGATGCTGCCACCAGCATCGCCAGCTCCCCTGGCATTTCTCCTGAGAAAGCTTCAGCCGATAAGCAGCCCGGCTCGCCCAGTCGCTGCGAACGATGATGCCTCATTGATGCAGCCATTTGCTTCTAACGTCTGCACCGCACTCTATGCGACCGTACACTATGTCTCTGCATTGGTCTGCGCGCGATAAGTTTCCAGGAAGCGCATTTTGCCGTCGGCCTCTGGCCAAAAAACTGATGCCGCCCGTTGATGTCGCTGCAGACAGCGCATTGCTACTGCCAAGCGCAACGCGTGTAATATGCACTAACTAACACGCACAGTCAGGAAGTATTTTATGTCCAATTATTGTTAGCTCTCTTTCTCTTGCGCGCTCTTTCTCTCTCTCTTTCTCTCCCTCTGTCTCGCTCAACTGTAAAAGCTGAAAAACCTATAAAAAATATTTAAAGTGCACTTCATAATTTGCCCAACAATTATACAACTTTTATGTTCGTCATTTTAGATATATGTATATAGGAAATAACTGAGTGCTAAAGGTTTTTTATGTTCATATTGTTTGAAAGCTTCCATACGATTTTTGGTTTCTGTTTTTATGATCACACTATAGGCAGAGCTATAAGAATTGTTTAATGATGTTTTTCACTCAATGGCTGCAAATGTGCTTTAGGGCTTATGTAGTTAATATTAATATTTACAGGATATCTGACAGTTATTTATTGAACGTAATGCAAGAATCGCAATACCCAAGATAGCACTTTTTAATAGAAAGAGTAACTCAACTTTGCAGAATTGAGTAATAAATTTTTTCTCACATTTTCCCCAGACTCTTCTATATTTATCAATATTATCAAATTATCATCATTTTTTCTGGCATAGAACAAGGAATACAGATGCATACAGGATAATTTTAACCAGTAACCAAAAATAATTGCAAACATTTCTAAAGAATTTTGTTTTTGTAAGTGAGATCTTGTTTCGAAACCCTGCCTTGATATAACTTGTATTATTTTATATATATGTACTAGATATAAACTAGTTACTTATATGTACAACAACAAACTTGCATAATAAATGTAATATAAATCAATAAAATATATTTAAGTACAGCCAAGACTCCTTTTCGCTG